CAGTCTCCAAGTGTGCCTTCTTTGGGCAATTAATTCTTTCTATTTCCATTGGTTTCGAGAATTGAAGTATTGTTCATACTATCATAATTTATTGTCTTGCTTTTCCTCTCTCTCTATTTATTAGTTATGTTAAAGGTACAATTCTTTTGTGAATACTTTTTCCCAGAAATCCATTCTTCATAATCATGACTGTGTATTCAAACTCTTCTATCAAACTAGCAACATGCTCACGTTCACAGCCACATTGGCTCGATAAAGCTTCAAATCTTCTAACACAAAGTTCAAGGGAACATTCATAGGGGAATTAATTACAAGTAATAAATGAAAAATTGTCGGCAAATTTCTGGGAGAGGATTTTTAAATTTGATCTGCTTAAATGAAACTGATCTACCGGTAGTCAAAATTGATATTAAAACAAATAGTAATCTGTAAGCTTGTTCTCTATAAAGACTTCAAGGGTATAAACAGGCAGATACGTGCAGGTAGCACCATGAGTTCATGTATTGTGAACATATAGATAGAGCAATGAAGCTTGCAAGAAACTACTTTAATAATCAAGAAATTAATGAATACTCAATAATTTATGAAATACATGATTAATACCTACAAACTTGTTTAACATGCAGATTGTAGAGAGCTAAATGAGTTAATGTACTCTGCACATCTATAGAGCAATCAAGCTTCAATTGGTGCCTGGGATCTCTAGAACTCCCAGAGGGGGGCCCTAGCTCTCTAATCGACCCTCTTAATCATTCCTTACGCCCGTCCGTAATACCCCTACGTGAATTGCCTTCGTCTTAACAGCACTGCTGCTGACGTACACGACATGGCCCATTAGGCTATTAATCAGCAGGAGCGCGTAAAAATACACCCCTATGTTTCTAAATCCACATCCCACGTCCGCTCCGGCTTGTCTTACACCCTTTTAATTTTTCCCCTCTCTCCTGATTTTCTTGCCTCTTGACATGATTTGTGCTTTCCTCCCGTTTGCAGGCAGTGGAAAGACAACAGCTTATGTAAGGGAAGGGCAGCTAGGCAGCGCTGAAGTGGGGGTAACCCCAAAGTAATAGGTTTTTCACCTTTCTTCTTGGCTTATGACTGGGAAACTGACATTGTTTCATTCCCTGTATATCCTTGTTGGATGAACTTTTCACACAAGATGATAAAAATGTTCCTTATTTATAATTTTATTTTGTTGCCAAATTGTATTCCAAATGTTTTGATAGAGGAATAGGGACATAGACAGTTTGAGAGAGAGAGAGAGAGAGAGAGAGAGAGAGAGAGAAGGAGGGAATGAGTGGCTGAGAGGGAAGGGGATGAATTTATGGGGGAGGGGCACTTGCATTACTCTCTGAATAATATGCAAATTTACAACAGCCCATGTGGTAGAGAGTTCTTTCCATCATCTTCTTTTCTTGTTCCTTTCTCTCTGTCTCTTTCCTTTTTCTTTTTTTCATTAATATCTATCTCTTTACTTATTCAATTATCTTCAGTTAATAAAGGCACATGCCCTCTGCCACTACGCCACGGAGTACAGAGACACACCATGTCAACGACTCACAAGGCTGCATTTCCTTATGGAGGTTATAAACCTCTGAGCTAAAGTGCTTAACTCCTGAACTGAATGTGAACGATGAGTTACTCAAAGTTATTTTTACTGTACAATTCAGGCATGCACCCTTGCTTAGGCACCAAAGCCAGGGTTATGTAAAGGAGATTTCAGACAAGTTATCTCTAACATGCTCATCCTAAACGTAGGTCATATTAAATCTACTCACACATTGTTGCTGATGAATTATATCCTCCGAGAAGAGAAAGTGAAAGACCTCTAAGCAAAGTTGGGGAACAAACTTGCTCCTTAAGTGAACAAAAATCTTTGATTCAGTGTTCAGTTTCTGAACTCAGGCCTAAGCAAGTAGCCAAATACAATTATTAACTCAACTATTCATACTCCAAGTAAATTTGATGTTATTATGTTTTTGTAACACAAGAATGAAGAGGTGGACTGGTTGAATTAGGGCATTTGTTGAATACTTTGTTGAAAAGCTTTAATTCGTCACATTCTCAAGAAACACAAAACTTGGTAAGGGTGTATTTTCCCTCCATTTGCCAGGAACTTTGTAAATTTGAAAGGATATAATCACGTCTAAAAAGAGATGTCTAATAAATAGTATTTCAAAAGGTAAAACTGTTTAATAAGTGGGGTTTCATGGGATTCAAATATTCCTCAATATGACATTTCTCTTTTTTAAATAGGAAATTGGATCTATATTCAGACTCTCTGAAAATATGATTTTTACGTAAATTCTATCACCTCTCATTTATTCTCCATCACTTAATCTTTAATTAATGGTAAATTTAAGTAATTACAATTTATCCCTCATTCCAACAAAGATGTTTTATCTGTATCTCCCGGTTTCCAAAAATACCAACTTTCTCAGGGTTAAACTGACATATCACTTGATTGCTAGCGTAGGAATCGAGATAGAGTCAATTTGAAGAGTTCTTAAAAGTATCGAAGCCTCCACCTTTGCCTTCATTGATTGTAATCGTTCTAAGCTTCCTTAATGACGGGAAATTACCAGCACCCCAGAAGCCTCCTCCAGACGTCACCCTCGCCGATTAGAGTTTCAAAGAAGAGAGGGGGTGACGTAGTCAGAGATTCTTGTCTTGGTTAATATTTAGGCAAAAGGGTTTAAAAGATGAAGAACTATATAACTTTCTCCATATTTTAATTGAACCTTGACAAAATTAAAATCCCTTTCAGCAGTTCCTAGGAGCTATATTGCAGGATGAATGGATAGAGGTTTTATGTGTGTTTAGATTAGAGTTTAGAAATCAAAGACGAGAGGGGTGACGTAGTCAGAGATTATTGTCAGGGTTTATTATTCAGGCAGAAGTTTTTAAAAGATAAAAACTATAGCATTTTCTTAGGATTTGACTCTCTCTCCCTCCATTTTTTAACTTGAACCTTGAAAAAAAATGAAACTCCTTGGAGCTATCGCAGGATAAATGGAGAGTGTCTGTGTGCTGCCTTATGAGCTCTCCTAGCTTGCCTGTACTGAATTACATTTAAATGTTTAATTGAAAAGGAAAACTTCCACTTTGCATGATCTATCTCACAAATTGATGTACTGCAAAAGGCAATCGATCTTCCTTGATGTCAAAAATAAAACCTTGGTTTAAGTTCTTGTTTTCTTATTTTCTAATTTTTAGTCTTCAAATTGACAGTTTGATAAATGGATGTAGACAAAAAATTCCTGTCATATCTACAAATTTCAATTCTTGATACCCATAATATTTTTAGATTGATAAAAAAGCCTTCAAATGCTCAAAAATACCTATAAACATTGTAGTTTTTTTTTCTTTTACATTTTTTCATTATTTTGTGTGGCTGCCTATATGTCCTTCAACAGCGATATTGTCGATAATCAAGTTGGACCAAAATTTTAATTTCTTGTCCTTGGCTTTCATTGTCAATCATCATTACTCTGACTAAAATTTCATCAATTTTGACTAGCTTTGTGATTGGGAGATTTCTTTTTATTGGCAAGTGTTTCAGCAAAATCCTTATCCAACTTCCTGTTTCTAAGTCAATAAAAACATCTGTTTATTTCAGATTCTAAAATATTTGGCTGTTTATATCCAAAAACTAGGATATTGTATAAAAACATCATCATAATCCTAGGGCGGGGGTGTATATTCTAGATTGCTGCCCCAGATATATAGACGCTGCGACAAAACACCTCAGTGTTCCAATTGAGTAATTTGAATCATTGGTTAGAAAATCGACTATTTAGTTGTGAAGGTAGAGGTGTTGTGGTCTAGTGGATAAGTCACCGACTGCAGATACCAAGGTATGGGGTTCGATTTGAGTCCTGCTGCTGCACCAATGTCCTTGGCAAGACTGTTAATCTACATTTGCCACTCTCCACCCAGGTGTTAAATGGGTACCCGGTCGGATGCGAAAGTGAATGTAGTTTTTCTTAAATGACAGGGTACATTAAACTTAAAGGCATTATCAGAATGAAATAAACTTTGGAGAAATGGAGAAGCCTCTACTCCTGACAATATTGATAAGTATATCAAGAAGAAAACTTGCTGCAGCAAATGACAAAATATACAAACATCACCAAGATTCCATCTTGCGGCACATTAATAGCCCTCCACAGCTTACCGAGGTAATATACTTCATCATGACACCTGTTTCCTGGCATTTCATGTTATCATCTACCCAGCAACGCCTGCTCGGTCGGTCGGTCAAAGAAACTAATTTCTACTCCGTATCTGGGGCAGCACAGAATTACAGTTGGCAAAGTAAGATTGATCACATACTCAATCTCTGCATCATCTAAAACTGTCTTTTCCACTTTCAGTATCACAAAATCCTTCATCAGATTATCATTTCTTGCTTGAAGGATTTGTTGGAATCCTCCAAACTTTGCACTTTTCCTTCTTGTGGTGATATCAGTGAAACATTAGATGGGGCTGACAATGATTAAAGTCTAGAAGACTCCAAAAGAGCTCAGCTGGTAAAACACGATAGAAAACTTATAGACCTCACAGTAATTTCCTATGTTAAACCCCATTTTAAACAAAAAGCCTAAACCAGTGTTAAGATGACTGCCAGAAAAGCTCTATTTTGCAGAAGCAATTAAAGAAAAAAAAGAAGAAAAAAGAGCTCCAGTGAATGGAAAAAAAAGAAAAAAGTTTTTAACTGTTTGCACTTGAAGCTTACACACACAGAACTGCAGGAACAAATTTAAACAAGGTTAAGAAAATTATCTACAGTGTGAACCCATCCAGGCGCTCATCATTCATAGACAGCGTAAGCATTGCTGCATGAACATGGTGCGGGCAGGAATTGCTAATATTCTCATGACAGAACCCCTCCCCCTGCTTCATTGATTACATACATGTGCGTACTTAAATGCTAAAGTGGACAAGTGTTAACACAATCTAATTAAGTGGGCATAGTATAAACACATCCATGGACTTACCAGTGTGATTATCAGGGCATGGCTGCACGTCAATGGTGTCTGCTGGGGCGTGTTCCCATTGGACCCCTCTAACGACCACGGGCATACAGAACTCTGGTCTCTTAGGGTTGTGACCACTGCCATGAAAACAAAAAGACAAAAGAAAAGTTAAAATCATTTTCATTCTGAACATTGTTTTGCTATAAAACATCAAAACCTAGTGACTGTATGCCCATGAAGAGCTACTGTAAAGGCTATATCTTTTGGTGTCACTTGAACAACAGTTCTCCACAAACTACTGCTGATCTGATAAAGATCCTCCAACAGAACATTTTCTTTTCTTGTTCTTTTTTAGGCAGTTTGACTAAACATTTTTGAAATTTTCTTCCCTCTCTGGATTAGTACTTTCACTCTAGGTAGTGTATAATATTTTCTGCCGCATTTTGGTCTACGGGTATCCCACTTTCTTACAAAGATTATTCAACCCCTGCATGAACCCAGAATCAAGTTATCTTCAGCAAACCACACTTTTTATCATCAAATGAATATCGTGTGAGTGAGCAATCACAGAATACCGTCTACATAAATATGTGTATTTCTTTAAAAAAAAAAAAAAATCCTCATACTTTGGAGTGTACTGAATGTGTGCCAACAGTCATCTATGGCAGTCCCATTTGTGCCATTTGTGCCATTTGTCAAACAAAGCAAGTAAAGGGTTAATACATGCCACATCGGGAAGATACAAACCTGTTGTAGAAGGTACTGTTGTTGTTGTAGGTGGCCGAGTTGTTGTTGTTGCTGCTACAGTTGTTGTTGGTGGTAGCGTCGTTGTGGCATCCTCTGGTAGGAGAGTGGTTGCTCCTTCAGGCAACTGCGTCACCACTGGTTGTTTCGTCCTCTCACGTGGCTTCGGAGTAGTTTTAGCTACTGTTGTTGTCTCCCGTGGAGGAGTGGTAGGTGGTGCTATTGTGGTTGCTGAAGTGGTAGAGAACAAGAAAACAAATGATAAGGATCTACATGTAGGATATATAATACTACTGTAAAATAAAACTTTTGGTTCTGGTTTTAAAGTATGATGTAACTTTTCCATATTTTAATAACAATCACCTTCTGATTTGTATCGTTTTATAATGGTCATTTTCGTTATCATTCACACAATAACAACAACAACAACCCAGAGTATGTCATTGCCTCAAAGTTTCTCAAATATGAAATAAGCTAATTGCAAAAGAACAAAAACCTCTTAAAACAGTCCATAACAAAGTTTTTTAATCCATTTGGACACATATATCACATTACATGAAAGATGTTCATGTAAATATCACGCTTGAATTGTCATATTATCATTACTCACAAAATAACAATTCCAACAAAACAACAGAAAATGTTTGGATTTCTTTCATTTATCAAACAAGACAAATGTTAATTCTAAACAAAATAAACAAAATGTTTGAACATTTTTTTTAACCTCTAGAAGTTAATGAAAACAACAAGTAAATCATTCAAACTATGAGAGCTAAAAAAGTAATTAATGAACACATAGAGAAAGAGATTACAACAGGAACAAAAGAAAGATCGAAACACTTAACACAAGTAAAAAAAAAATCTGACTGTGTTTGAACATTTACTAGAAATAAAAGTAATTTCCATCATATTAACCTCAGAATGAATGTTATTACTGTAATCTACTACTTAAGCTTTTCTGGACTCTATACTTTTTAAGTATTCAAAGTAGCTGGATACATTTTTTTGGTTTAAACAGCTTTGTAGGCATTTTACTCACCACATGATTTATTGTTCGCAAAGAGGCAATGGATTTGAGAAAAAGCAGAGGAGAAACGTAAGATTCATAATTCAAAAGACTTTTTATATTTTGCTAGTTATTGTCAGTAATATCCCTCACCAAATGTCTATAAATGGGGCAAATGTTAAGAAATAATACAAAATAGAAATGGCCTACAACCTGTTATTGCCCATAAGCAGATCTAGTTATATAGAAACTAAAATGGATGAAACCCCTGCCTCCTTTTGGAAAAAAGGTAAATAGCAGCTTCCAAAGAAATGTGTTAATTTCAACGTTTTCAACCATTTGTAACCACCTAGTAAATGATAAACTAAAATGAATGAAACCCCTGCCTCCTTTTGGAGAAAAAAAAGGGTTAAATAATAGCTTCCAAAGAAATGTTGATTTAAACATTTTCAACCAGTTTTAACCACCTAGTTAACGATAAACTAAAATGAATGAAACCCCTGCCTCCTTTTGGATACAAAAAGGTTGAATAGCAGCTTCCAAAGATATATTGATTTCCATACATTTCAACTTTTTTTTACCACCTAGTAAACGATAGACTTGACTGCATCATCCCCTACTTACTATTATTTCTGTGTAAAAGTATATGAGTTAACACCCTACTGGCTCCAAACAGATGATATTATACATTTTGGTAAAAGTTTTTAAATCAAGTTTGAAAATGTCCCCACGATTATTTGATATGTATACTGGTAAATATGATGTTCAACGTTTTACCACAAAAAAAGTTAGTTTCTACATACAAATATATTATGTCCCATAGTATTCTAAACATTAATTCTGTTTTCAAAAAGTTTTATACATGAATATAGTTTTAGTACAACCACCAATAACATGCAAAGAACATACTGTACACCAGAAAATATAAATACCAAACAGTGACTAAAACATGCACATTCATGTATGCACTAAAACTAAAAACATGCACAATTACACCAAAAACTATGTTAATATCTCTTTTCACAGCTAAATGACAAATACATCCAATATAAACAAGTATACAGAAAGTTTGAAATACTTCAATGATATTAAAAGTACAGGTATGAAAGCTCTTATTAGAAAAAAAGTATATGTACATATATACTACGACTACATGTATAAAGACATGCTATAAAAATGTTTTCAAAAAGCTGAACTATAGTGTACTGTAAGTCAAAACAGATATTAGCAAAGTTAAAACATACATTTGAAATATAATATATGTATTATTAAACAGCAAACCATGGCCTTAAGTGTTACATGTAGATATAGATCAATTAAACAATTTTCTCCAAGAGTAGTTTTGGAAAACATAGACAACAATAGGAATCATCATCACAAGATAAAGACAGATCAATTACATCAATTCCTTCAAACATTATTCTAAAAGTATACACATGAAAATATTCAACAGGTTTCAGATGATATCATCCGTTGAGAACCAAAAGACTGTTATCTCTGTGTAATTGTATATCAGTTAACACTTTTATGGCACTGAACAGATAATATACATGCTCATATTAAGTTGATTGATATTTTACATTTTGGAAATAATTACACAACAGATTCCAAAGGTTTTGCATGGGTTTTTTCTTCTTCTATAAATCAGAATGTTTATCAGATAAAAGAGATGTCTTGATTTTAAGACAAGACAAGTTTGTTTCATTACATAAAGACTAAACATTGTAATCACACAAGCTCCATGACATGTATACCATCTATGTAATTATTGAACCAACTGAAACATTATGTAAGAAAGAAGTAAGCAAAATTTAAGAGTATTATAAAACACAGGCCTGTCGATTGAGATGTTTCACAAAACAACCTCATGGCAAAATTGTTGAGGCTTGTTTTTTCTTTTTACTGTGTTTTTGATAAAAGTTAATGTAACCAGGTCCTTTAAAATTTAATTCTTCGGAAAGAATCACCTGATGGCATTTGGAAATTGAAATTTGTTTTTTATCATTGTTTTCTATAGCCTTTTAGTCGACCATCATTTTTCAAAAAAATACTGCAAATACAAGAGAAAAGAAATTGAGGGAAGACTAGAACAGGACTGGAAAACTAGTATAACACATGGACATAAAATACAAACATGGACAGTCGTGTTGACCATGAGGAGATACTTACGAACTTCTAAACAGGCAAACAAAACTTCAAGATATTTTTGGGTACCGGGAGGGCACTCGTCGCCAAAAATCTCGACCGTTGTTTGAATGGAACATGAGGGCTCCTTGTCGCAGCTGTTTGGAGTTATAAAATTAAGTTGTTAGGAAACAAAAAGAGACATGCAAATTAACAAAGCATTCCATAGGATCTATCAAATACAGCATTACTACAATAACATGATGATAAACTACTTTTATTTCATTTTTTTCATAGATGTATCTTTCTACGCACCTATATACTAAAAGTAGGGTGAGTGAAATTAATTTTGTGCTAATCATACTTACCTTCAACAAAACACCATTTGTCAATATTTAATGCTGATTTGCTAAGCCGTTCAGTATATAGAGTTAACAACTAAATTATTCATACCCCCTCTAAATCTGATGTTTTGTGTGTTTTTCGTAATTGAACAATTAAAGGTGGACCCGTTGAATTAGGGCATGTGTTGAATAAATTTAAATGTGTCCCATTATCAAAAAAACATTAATTGGGACAAATGAACTTAGTCATACTTGAACAAATTACTACAATTATTAAGGGTATGAATAATTTAGTAGTTGTTAACTGGATATTGTCTGTCTCAGAAAACAATTAAAAGTTACTCCATGTAGAAAGGGAAGAACTGAACTAGTCTGCATGAACAGACCCTACAGTCTTTGCAAATAATAGAGGGTCTGAACAGTTAGACTATGTTGACTGCACTCTATACTCTCTGTACTGTAGCAGCCCCTGCCACAGACTGCCAAAGTTTGGCTAGGCTCAAGGCTTGAAAGAATTTTTGTCAAAGTGATGTCAAAAGAGAGTCTGCAATGAGCCTGCAGACTAGGTCTGGACCAAAATGGAATGTGTAGTATTGTTTTGTTCTTGGTATTGTTTTGTTCTTGGTCTAGTCTTGGCCCTTCGAAGGACATAATTTGTTTTTGTATACTAAAAGTGTCAGGACATTCTACTCCTATTATGTCAGTCAATGTCTTGTAGTATTCAGTTGATATCTTTAACTACAGTCAATCAACAGAAAGTTGAAACATCATTTGGTGTGATTCTATTTTGTTTATGCATGGAGTATCTCTATACTTGGTGTATTTTCAACCGGTTTAGAACCTATTAACTGTTCTTGTTTTTCGTTAAAATTAATTGTGGGCTACAAGAATACAAAGTCCCTTTTTTTTTAAAAGAGTGAAATTTAGGGCATGGAGAGAGAGAGAGAGAGAGAAGAGAGAGAGAGAGAGAGAGAGAGAGAGAGAGAGAGAGAGAGGGAGAGAGAGAGAGAGAAATCAACTTTTTGTTGAATGTGTAGACTTCTGACTGAATATTATTGTTTTCTTTTAAATGTGATCTTCGTCATCCTCTACAGAAGGAGAAAGAAGCAGAGCCTAGACCTAATTGAGGGGGAAAAAATATTAGTAGTTAGTTATATTGCATGCAGAGACGTTCATAAGAAGCCTGTACCAATGAATTAGTGAGATTATGAGAGAAAGAGACGATGCTGTAATTGGGTTAGTTACAGTGAGCTAAACCACAATTCGTGCAGCTGTCGTTAAATGTTCAAACGACGTGCCATGCAATCTAACGATCGAAACGTTCCACGTGTTGTGCATGCTGTCAGTGCAGGAGGCGGCTCCTAAGGTGTATCAGGTCGTGCTTCCCCATGCATTTTTTAGTAGCGTTCTTTTTCGAGGTTTTCATTCCTGTTTCATTCGTTACTCACTGGGCACTCGGCACCGTAGTTTGACTTCAAGGAATTTAGCGGGCTCTTCCGGACAAGGGTCGCCGAATAATTGCATTGTGGCGTGGATGGTGCAGGTACCACGGTTATTACAACTGGAGAGATAGGGGTGGGGCAACCAGTCAGGGGGTGGGAGAGAGGGGGGCAGAAAAGAAGGCGAGGCCGGTGAA